GTTGAGAGGGGTTATGTGAGAGGCTTAGAGGGATCACACAAAGAGGGGGGGTAGTGGACTCGGCTTGCTCTACTTAGTGTCATTGTCTGTTGATTCAGTAGGTATATATAATATGTAGCTATGTCTCGGGTACGTCCGTTGCTTATATGTGTCATTCCATATATGTTAACACTCCCCTTCAAACATATATTAGTTTAATAATATGTTTGTTTTGCAACTATTCGTTTATTTGATTTGTAGTCATTTTTATTTTTATTTTTAGGGGTAGTTATAGTGCTGCTACCACTCCCCTTCAAACATTTATAAGTTGGCCAGACCTATAAGATGTTTGATTTGCAGATTGTTCCAACATTTTTATTAGTATTGTATCTGCATTGTATGTTGTGTCTGTATTATATTTGCTTGTGTATCACATATAATAATATCATTTGTATAATATAAATGCATTGTTTGTATTGTATATTTTAGTCCACTGTGTGTTAACTTTGTGTGTTGTTAGATATCTATTAAGTTTTTGTTCAGTGTTGTGTTATTAGTTCTGTACTTTGTTCATTGTTATATTATTAAGTCATTGTTTGTTGTCATGTAGACTGTTCAACATGATTGAAATTGTTCAGAGTTAATTCGAAGTTTGTGCATAGTTTACTGTTCAATGACAGTATTGTTTTCACAATAAATCGTTTGAAATCATTATTGATATCATATATGCTTCAGAGACCTGCAGAATCTTATGAGTGCTGTGTAAGATTGTAATGCGTGTGTTTTATTTATCAAGTTTGTTTGAGTATTACTAGTAATTTCTTTTTACTTTGCTGTGAAACTAATGAATCACACTAGTAAAATGTATATCCAGTGTTGTAATGATATCCTTCTTTAATCATTGTTGTCTGCATTTGTCTATGTTTGTATATGTGTTAAGCATTCAGCAATAGCTGATTTATGTCTTCAGATTGAAGCTTTACATCAATTGTATGTTATAATATTAATAATGTTATTTGTTTTTGCCAGATTACT